CTGTTTCCGCCTCAACCTCAGCCTCAAACATACCTGCACGACAGAGCTCATGAACAATCCGATCCCACTCTTCTTGAGATTCCACGTGCACGGGTGCAGAATGACGACCGTTGACAACTTCGTCATCCGGAACTCTGAGAAGATCCGGATCTTCTGAATATTTTTGGAGCCTTTCCGGAAGCACATCCGTTAGTGAGATTCTCGCAGCCTCGTGGGGTTTTGGGACCGATGGTTGAATTGCTGCCCAAGTGAGCTTGTAGCACTTTCGCCACTCCTTTCCACTGTAGAGATCCCCCAGTGGTTCAGACACTTCGTGCCATGGGCCTATTGCAACTACGGGGTCACCCTCACAAAGCAAACATGCATTGCGCCGAAATACTTTCATGACCTCCTTCTGTGCATCAGTCCATTCCACATTGTGCGCCATGCAGTGCCCAAGAAGTCGCTCACGCCCCAAGTACAAATAGTTCACAAGCAACACCTGGATCCATGTCCAACCATCCACACCAGCAGAATAGATCATGGTCCTTACTTCTGACAGTTCGCCTGCTGGTACGGAGGAGCCAGACTTGAGGCGATGCAAAACATCAAGAACACATCGGAAGCAATTCGCGGCAGTTGAACTTTCCGTCCAAAGTCCCTATTGCGCAGATTTCCAGAAGTGCTTGACACAATCCAAGGCAGGAAGGGCGCAGCCTGATGAGTTCCTTCAGGGCCACACCCAAGTGAGAAACGGAAAGCTTGCCTCGAATTAATACCTCCAGATGCCGATGATACTCCACCCAAGGCGAAACATCAGAAACCCTCGAATTTCTGGCCACGTTGAAAAAGTCGAGAATCTCAATGGCCACACTCACGGGCTCACGAGCACCAACATATAGCGGGCGCGACTCCAGGAGGCTACGCACAAGTGAAGGGTCCATGCGCTCACGAAACGCCTCATGGAACACTGACCCACTCAGGCCTTCACAGCCTTTGCCAACATACACACCTCCATCCCCACGCCACTTCAACCAGTCAGGGGACACTCGCCGGATCTGTATGCCACGATGAACATGCACTAACTCCCCCACTCCGATATGGCCGACTCTACTTTCATTTGGCAGGGAGCTCTGCTCATCAGGATGAGAGTCTTCTGCAAGAAATCCGAATAGTTGGCATATGCCGGGTATGCCGTTCTTCACTGCATCCTGCGAATTACTGTCATTCATGTTCTTAACCTGTGTTCTCAATCCTGCAACGCGAGATGGATGCACATGTTGGAAGATTTCCTCGAGTGTTGCTTGTACTTCGCGACCGGGTGATTGATCTGAAGCATTCACTTTTTCCACCCGCGGTGTTTCCCTCCTTTTCCTCCTTTGTGCCCCTTCTTGTTGCCCTTCTGTTCCTCTTCGCCCACGTTCAAAGGTGCTGCTTCGGGATCTGTGTCGCCTTTGCCTGCTCCTCGACCTTTTCCTCCAGTACCCCACCAAAGTCGCCGGGGCACCCATGGGTTCCGCTGCAGTTGTAATTCGGCTTTGTGTTCCGATTGCACCGCCTTCAGCTCCTGCCTGAAGTAGCTTCGCTCCTCGGACGGGTTCACCAGCTCGAGCAGGTTTGCCTGACTCCACGAACTCTGCTCCGTTGCCAGCTCTAAGGCCTTTTGGCGCTGAATCAGAACATCCAATGCTCGCAGCACGTCGTTTGATGCCAGATAGTCGACAGCTGTGAGGATTGTCTGCATTTCCCGAGTCGTGCGGGGGCCCAGCTCCTGTGACGGGTGGCGAACCATGTAAATCTGACTGAGATAAGCTCGTCCCACTGGGGGAAAGGCATCCTGGTGCCTGTTCGTCGCCTCTCTCCCGGTGGACCTTTCCAGCAGCTCCTGGTATCGCAAAAGCGTGAGGTTTGCGAGATGCCCTGGCTTGCGTTCGTGCATTTCCCGCAGCTTGTCCACCCCCTCCGGGAGAGAGGCTAATCGAAAAACTGGCTCGTCATCCGTTGACGTGGTTGAGTCAGCACTTGAAGACCTTTTGCGTTCCTTTCGGCTTTTCCTTCTCTTCCGCTTACCGGACAATCTCAATGCTGACTCACGGCTTTCACGAGGTTTGCGCCCTGAAATGATGTCGTGGTATGATTCGAAGTCGTCAACCTCAGAAATACGAGCATCCTTCACGGGTCGCTTGAGTTTCCCTTGCTGTCGATGGCTGTCTGCTGTCCCTGCTAACCCTTGCTCTTCTGCTGATGCTTCAAGCGGTTGTGGGACTTGTGGGTATCCGGTGCCTTTGCCATTCTGGCTCGCACCCAACGCGGCAGCCAGACCACTTAACCCTGCAGCTCCGGGCATCACTGCATGTGGGTCGTTGGGTGAAGCTGGTGCGATTGTCTCGGGTGGGATCTGCTCGATGCCAACACCATTCAAGATTGATTGAAAAGCCTTCTTCTTTTCAGAAGTCATCCATCTCAACTTCATGTAGGCGTCACCCTCGACAAAACGAAAAACATCCACATGTGTCACCGAATGGTACGAAGTACGAGCTTTGCATCGCGAAGCGGGCACGCTGCAAAAGTGAATAGGGATCTTTGGGCAGCTCGACAATGGACCAAAGGTTGATTCTTGCCACCACAAATAGTATTCGTCCTGCACGCTGAGCACATGTCCTAACCACAACTCTCCATCGACAATCTGTTTGAGTGGATCTTTTTCCACCAGTAGGATGATCAGGTGTCCTTGCTGTTTCCCTTCATCATCGTAAGCAGGAGCTTCAATGACAACACCGGGTCCTAACCCCTCAAAATGAGATTGAGAAGCTGATGATCCTGTCTTTCGCCATGGAGATGTCATGGCTTTGAAGGTCTTATGATCGCAAGCCGAAACCCCGCTGCTCGAATGACTCCTTCCACACAAAAGTGAAATTCGTCTCAAGAGCAGTAGGAATTTCTGCCTTTGTCTGCCCTCACATTTAAGTCACTCACATGATCGTTCTGAGAGAAACTGCGGGAAAAGCATTTGACTTTCACACTATTCTGCAGGACATGCCTGCTCCCTAAGATGTGACTGTAATATATGACTAGAAGGGAATTATCAGAAGATCCTATAGAGTCATCCAGCCATAGAGAGCAACACCATGCAACATCACCCAAGTAGCGCTAGGCAGGTGCAAGAGGCAGGCGTGAACTAGCGTGAACTTGCGTGAAAAATACTACAGGAAACCATCCTCAGAAAGGTCTCGCGTTAAAAAGCGTGATTCCGCGTGAAATCGCGTGAATCCCGATTATACCATACCCCAGCTAAACTCGTGCCCCAGCCTACACAAACCCCATGAAACCTCACAGTCCGAATTCAAGCAATTAAGCAAAACCCGAAGCCCGAAACTGTTGAACCCCTCTACTAACTCCAATCCCTACACCTACAACCTGAAGAGAAAACCGAAACTGCTAGGGAATCCCCAAACTCCCTAAGCCCCTAACCCTAAAATCCCCAACCCCGAACCCTAAAACCCCAAAATCCCTAAACCCCAAGCCCTAAAACCCGAAACTCTTCAGAGGGCACGTCTTGCTGGCAAGACCCAGATCCACCATTCCTCGGGTGCGACATGCCGTTATTAGTTCAAGCGATTTCGAACGTTTTGTCTGACTGCTGATAAGCATGGGCAAGCGTGGTGATGCAGCCGCATCCCCAACCCCCGTGTCGGGCAGAGTGCAGGCAATGGTCGATCGTGCGATGCAGTTGCATGGCAATAAAGCCAAGGGAAATCCTGGGCCCAAAGCCCCTCCTCGCCCGCAAGCAACTCCCGCCCGTGCTGCAAGCACTCCGAATCCTGAACAGCAGGTGACTCCGGAAAAAGCCCCGAACCACACTGCCTCCTCAATGGCACCCCCAGGCCCGAGCCCCATGTCTACCAACAGTACCCCACTGAAGTCTCCAGACGCCAAGCGGCTTCGTGGTGAATCCACCACGTCCTTGGGATTGAGCGAGGTCCCGAGCCTTCCTAGTTTCTCTGGGTCCGGGTCATCCAAGCCGAGACACTCTGATTCTTCGACTACGATCAGTCTTAATCAGTACATGGCAGAGATGACCCTGGGCAAAGGACAGACCTGTAGATATAAAACATAGTCACAAACAATCCTGGGAACGATTTCGGCCAATCCCAATTTGTGAGGACTATCTCAAGACCTCGCCGGCACCGTCGCGGAGGATACGCAGATTGATGAGCCGATGGTTGGCAACAAGGACACGGTCACCATCTGCTACTTATGTAGTGCAATCTGAATTCTAGCCGCCAATCCATGATCTCAGCTGTTAGCCTATCCAATGTGTTTGCACTTTAGGGCTTCACAAGGCTGTTGCCAGGCCCTGCTACAAGATCATTAATTGGCTAGCTTGTTGTCTTGTGCACGCTGGGTGCCCCAGGCTCTTGGCAAGTGTTGCTTATCGTGATCGGTGGGCTTAGGGGTTGCTGTTGGTTTCCCCTAAACCCTAAACCTCCCCCCTAAACCCTAAACCCTCCCCTCTAAACCCTCCCCCCCCAAACCCTAAACCCGGCCTAAACCCTCCCCCCTAAACCCGAAACCCTCCCCTCTAAACCCTCCCCCCCCAAACCCTAAACCCGGCCTAAACCCTCCCCCCTAAACCCGAAACCCTCCCCTCTAAACCCTAATCCCTCCCCTAAACCCTAAACCCTGGAAGAGTACCGTGCAGGATCTGCAGAACAATTGCTACGTCTGCAGCTCCAGCTGCTGTCTGGATGATGCCATCAAGCAGGCCTACCTACGGGTATGAACTAACTATATATTGCCAGGGTTTCGACTTACAACCCCCACTCAATAGACTGTCGGCATTATATCGAGGTTAATATTTAGGGTCTAAACATACTTTTTTACTCGATGGTTTCTATAGCAATAGTCAAATAGTTCTACGTGTAGAGTATATAATGGTGGCATATATCTTCGCCTATATTTATTAACTCAGCTAACCCTGTGGGCAGGGATCGAAAACCTTCTGTGGGGTGCAGTGCTTGATGAAGTTTGTGTCGAAGCCTACGACTCCGGAACCTGATCCGGAAAAAGCGCCGACACTGCCAGCCGAAATCCACCCCGCACCAGCAGACGTGGCACCCCAGGTTGTGACTCCAGAGCCCAAGGCCGGGAACTCATCCCCGCCAGCACCGGTGGCCGCTGCTTCGGTAAAAGCAGGAGACGCCAGCGCCACTGTGGAGGCTTCGAGCGGAGGAATATTTGCTGCAGCCTCTTGCAAGGAGGCAACAGCAAAGGCTTGGGTTCAAAGCGACCAGGGTGACGATCTCGAGCAGCATTTGGAGAAGCTGATTGAGGATCAGGAGCAGCTGGACGACGCCAACAGCAGGGCACATGATGCGGAAATGAAAGCAAAGGCCATGCATCACCTGCTGCACGCGCTGCTTTCCTCGCCACCTGACCAACACGGCGCACGCGCAGAGCTGATAGAACAGATGCTTCGACGACCCGCAACTTGCGACATCGATGCAATGACAGAGCAGCTCAAAACAAGTGCAGCAGCAGCGGGTGCACCGGATCAGGCAGATGTCGAGATGCCACAGAAGCCCACAAAGACTCCAGAGCCGACAGCAACAGTAGCAAGTGTGCCAGCAAGGGATGTGCCACAGACAACCGAGACACCGAAGCCCACAGAGACTCCAGAGCCAACAGCAACACCCGTAGCAAGTGTGCCAGCAGCGGATGTGCCACAGACAACCGAGACACCGCAACCCGCAGAGACTCCAAAGCCGACTGCAACAACCACAGCTTGTGTGCCAGCAGCGGATGTGCCAGAGACAACCGAGACCACAAAGCCCGCAGAGGCTCCGGAGCCGACGGCAACTGCCACAACCGAGACACCGAAGCCCGCAGAGACTCCAAAGCCGACTGGAACTGCCACAACCGAGACACCGAAGCCCACAGAGACTCCAAAGCCGACAGCAACTGCCGCAACCGAGACACCGAAGCCCGCAAAGACTCCGACGCCGACAGCAACTGCCGCAACCGAGACACCGAAGCCCGCAGAGACTCCGAAGCCGACAGCAACCGCAGCAGCAAGTGGCATCCGTGTGAAGCAGGAGCCAGGCGTCGAGCGAGACCAGGTCACAACAGAGCGGAAGAAACCAGATCGCGCAAACGAAAGCGAGGAGGATCGCAAAGCCCGCGAGGCCCATAACTCCTACATGCGGTACTTTCGCAGCTTGCGCCGACTGGCTGATACTTTAGTGTGCCACTCTAGACTCTAGATCTTTCTCTATCTTTATTTTGAAATACATACATAACCGTTACATAGCACATAAATAAGTTATTAGCCCCTTATAATTGCCAATCCGAGGCTCGCCGAACTGCCCGCCGGAGGTGAGGGCCAAGGCGCTCACGGAGAGCGGCAAGAGCCGCTCCACCTCGATAATGCGCCACATGTACGAGATGTGGATCAGCAGCGGGTGCGATTGGATGCAAAGTTCACTTGTTATGAACGCTAGGAAGCGCAACAGGGCAAAAAGGACTGGCAGGTATCTCTGGAAGCGGTTCGAGTTGCTCAAGAGCGAGCCACCCATCAGCAATATTAGTCAGGAAGACCCTAAAACCCAAACGCCCTGATTGAAAGTCATAAACAGTCAGCCCTCAAACATCCTCAAACCCCAAGTAGGTAAATTTGTAGCATGACTTCAGGAATCACTGTGTATCCATTCCCAAACCATCCAGGCATGGACCAGCTATTGCGGAGGATATTCGTGCCAGCAAGAAATCCATGGACCCCTGCGGCACCGGCAAATGGTGGAAAGTGCACCCCGACCAGCCCAAGAACGAGGTGGGCCGCCAGCCCGTAAATTTCTTTACAACAATCTATTTATCCTGTCCCCATTTAAAAAATACTTCCGGTGTCCGATTCTAGGCTCCCCACTAAACCCTAAACCCTAAACCCTAAACCCATACCAGGACTGGGAGCTCTTCAAGTGCTTCGACTCTAGGGAGGAGATTTCCGAGTCCGAGGACGAATTGGATTTCAGCAACCATGTCGAGGTTGAGCTCGACCATGAGGGGACCACCGGCGTTCTGTGCATTGCCTAAACTTATCAATGTATCTAAACCCTAAACCCTGAACCCTAAACCCTAAACCCTAAAGCGTATATTCTAGAAGCTCCGGTCTATCAAGGTCACATCTTCTGGATGCCCCGAGTGGCGCCAGGGGCAGCAATGATCCCCGTCCGCCGGGGCGTAACAACAATGAAAACACCAATGAAAAGCCCAAGAAAGAGAAGAAGGTGAAGAACGCTACGGAAGAGGCCTTAGATTTGCTGCGCAAAGGCACCCAACGGATCATCGAGGCGGACGGCATGGACAGCATGCTCCGCAGTGGTGGCATGCACCTTGGATTATTGACAATTGTATACAACATCTTTTTCTCCAAGTGCCCAATTATGTAATACTAACCCTGAACCATCAAAGTTGTAAACCCTATGACATTCAGGATTTCGTGGTTGATACAAAAGAAGTATACTGCTATATGCTAGACCTGTGTTGCTCAGGGGTGAAGCATTTGCAAAAGCGATGATTGCCGACATGGCGAATGACATCGAGAAGATGAAGGACCGCCATTCGGCTGTGCAGTCGGCTGTCACGACAAAGCGGGATGATGCCGAGATCGGAAGCTTGAACGCGATGCTCAAAGCGAGCTATGCAGTTTACGATGAAAAGATGAAGGGTATTAAGCGTACGCTTCGCCCGGCCCCAAAGGCCAAAGGCAAAGCAAAGGCCAAAGCCGCTGCCTGAGGCAGCTTTTTAGGATGGCCTCCGGTGGGGTTAGCGCGCACCTGTGACTGCAGAGGCTCTCTAGAACCTGCGTGCAACATTCGACTACTTTCCTACATTCTTAACAGCCATTCACCTAGGCACTTAAAGGGGGAGAACGCGGGCCAGAGCATCATGCGCAGTCTGCGGGGTGTGTCGAGTTTTGTACATCCGGAGCATTTTAAGATCGGCTGGCCGGCATCACCGAGCATCGCTTGGGCCCATCAATCCAGAAAAAAGTTCCTGAAATTCCGTCTGCTTGAGTCCTGGATTTCGGTTCATGTTCGATCAAGTATACAACTCAAGCTTTCGAACTCCAGTTCGCTGCGCAGGTGTGCCCGGTGTGATTCGCGAGCGCTTGCTGGCAGGAGTCGGTGCAGGTGCAACTTGCTTGCACACCAGTTTCTATTGCTGCCTTATTAAAGACCAAAGCATTAAACCCCGAAATCCTTTAACACCCCAACCCCAAACCCCCCAAAGCTCCAAAGTCCCATATTTCCTCCAAAACCCCAGAAAGCCCCAACCCTCACAGTCCCAAAACTCCTAGAACCACGAATTCTCCAACCCCCCCCCCAGTACCCTTAATGTCCAAAACCCCCAAAGCCCAAACCTCCCCAAACCACCCAACCTCATAAAGCCCTCAAGCTCACGCCCAAAACCATGTAAAACCCCTCAAACCCAAAGTCCCAAACTACCCAAACCACGCAAAACCTTAAAACCGGAGGCCCCAAACTCCACCCCCCTCCCAAAGCCTCAAATTTAAAACCCCATAAAGCCCCAACACTCACATTCCCAAAACTCCTAGAACCACGAAAACCCTTGAAACCTAAAGCCCCGAACTCTCCAAACCCACCCCCCCCTTCTAGTACCCTTAGTGTCCAAAGCCTCCAAAGCCCAAAACTCCCGAAACCACCCAACCTCATAAAGCCCTAAAGCTCACGCCCAAAAGCTTTAAAACCCCTCAAACCCAAAGCCCCAAACTACCCAAACCATGCAAAACCTCAAAACCGGAGGCCCAACAACACGCGAAACCCAAAGCCCAAAAGTCTCCAAACCCCCAAAAAATCCGAAAACCCCGAAGCCTCAAATCCTCTGAAACCCAAAGCCCAAAACCCCCCAAAGTCCAAAGCTCCGAAAACCATCCAGACCCCTAAACCCTAGTCTTATTGCATTCTTGTGGAACCTGCTGGAAATCGCTAGATACTTGCCTCGACCCCAAACGCACAACCCTAGAGACTTATGGCCATGTCCGAGTTGCGAAAGCATCATCCTTGAGAAGCTTGTTGCCCCAGTTGAATCAGTATCCCGAGCTACATAATCAAACTCCCCAAACCCACCTGCACCTAGAAGCAGAACCCGATGCCAAACAGAAGGAATGGAGTGCCTCCACTGCTCAAGAGCTGGCTGACTGCGTGTCAATCGATACTCGGCAATTACTTCGATCGGCTTCACTCACTGATCATATTGAGATTTTGGGTTCAAGGGATCCCTGGTCCCTAAACCCTAAACCCTAAACCCTGAGCCCTAAACCCTAAACCCTAAACCCCAAACCCTAAACCCTAAAACCCTAAACCCTTTAAGGCTTCGGGAGTTTCGGAACTTGGAGGGGGTGCAGGGACTATA